CCTTCCATCAGCAGCATCAATAGACAAGAATAAAGTACAGAAGGGGTAAGAGAGACCCTCCTCTCCAAGTCCAGTAAAGCCTAGACAAGCATTGAGAAAATGATACATTTCAAACCAATTTGGTTGTCCAGTCAACACCAGAATGTGTATCATGTGGGCTACATACACATACAGGATATACACTATGGGTACCTATACAGCAGCATGTGAAGAACCATTAAAAAGGGTTTACTGTGGAAAACTGATACAAATCAGGTCTGTGTGGGAATATCACATATCACAACTGCTACTCCTTGATCTCCAATTTAGAGAGCTGTGAACAGTTACCTCTGTATAATTTCAGTCTGTGCAAGTCTTGCACTCCAGTTCTCTCACAGCTGTAGGAAGAACACCAGGATATTCTCAATGAGGGAGCAGGAATTTTCTAGTTTGGTCAGAATTTACTGTGTTCAAAGGCTGAATAAATTTGTGCGCTCACATACAGTGCTGCTGTTTCAAGGGCGTGTGTTCACAGAATTTCTACTACATTATACTTGATCTTTGACTGCAAAGTTTTTGGAAAGTATAATCAAATAATGATTTTATTATTATATAGCTGCAGGAATGTAAACTTATCTAGAGGAAATGATAGTTCTTTCATTGAAACTGATATAAACCAGCCAGGAAACAACTGAATTGGCAGATACCAATAACCATTCATTCTGGATGAGCCACAGCCAGGCCAGTCCCTGGAGCAGCTTTGATTAGAATTTGTCTATCAGTTTCAGGTCCCACAAATCACTCGATCCCTCAAAGCTCAAAATAAATGATAGAAACATGTCTGACCAAATATTTCTTTTACACATGCTGAAGAGCTAATATCTGACATGCTTAAAGTTCACACAATTGAAGCTGCCTGCTGGCAAGTGGGTTCTCTTTTACATGTAAACAGAAGTCTGATCAGAAATAAATGCATACTTAAAAAAAATGATAAGCATAAAAAGCCTCTGCCTTATTATTCTTGATCTGATGCGTATTTTTAAATGGAAATATGGGCTTGAAATAGTCCATCAGCAACTAAATGGACAAAAATGTAAAGTTTTTAACAGGCACCAGTTATCTTCTTGCTTCAGAGCTGAAGCATAGTTAAGATTCTAAAAGAAAAATATTTCCTACATTCTGCACTAGTCCTCAGAAAAAGTGAAGTACTTCATGCAAAAAGAGCTATAGCTTCATTAAGAAATGTAACATACATGTAAGAAATTGTATGAAAATCAAAAGAAAAGTGTAAAATAAGGTAAATTTATCCTTAAAATCACTAGTAAAATACTACCTCAAAATACACCTGTTAAGTTTACATTAATTTTGCCCATTTATTGAACACATCACTAAATTACAGTGCCTTCTCCCTTGAAGTGCTTTCTTGAATAACTTGCATAGCTGAAAATATGATACTATTTAACACCAGTGATCCCAGAGCTTAGCCCATGCTAGGTATGGATTTTGGTTTTCTTTGCTGAACAGCAGGAGATAAGATGTAGGATGAAGGGGAAGAAAAAAAAAAAAAAAAAGAGAACAGACTGGAGAGGACATGACAGCAAGTTTAAGCTATTAATGCAACCTTAGTTAATGCTTGAGCTTCTATTCAGTCAGCATCTCTGCTCATACACTACTACACTGCAAAATTAAAGATAAGCTACAGATAAGCAGATTTAATGGGATAGTATGTACAAAAGCATCATATGGCTGACACTGATGGTTTTTTTTAATTCCTCTTAGGAAAAACTGTGCCTGGAATCTATTTTATTACTTGTAGATCTTCACTAAATGTATTGCACATCTTTTTCATTAATATCATTAAAACCAAGGGATTGTCAGGCAGCTTCCCAGCCAGGACCACTGTCTCTCCTGATCTCACCACCCCTGCAGGTCACTGATGATGCAGTGAGCATTGATTGGGTGCAGAATCTCATCAACAGAAACAACCCTCAGGACCAGGAGTGAGAAGCTGATTTCAAAGGGAAAGGAGCACTGCCCCATGCAGCCTAACTGGCTAAAAGAGCAGAGACGTCAGCTGGCTGGGTCATGACAGAAACAAAACAGCATTTCAGATAGGATTATGTTGTCATTAGAGCTATATAAACAGAATTCAGGGCAGTAAAATGTGCAAAGGAAGCAATGTTTTAAAGGCCTGTCTTCCCATGACATGGATGCTTTACCTACTTCAGTCCTGCTACAAGGAGAAAAACAGAGAACAGTAATCTAACAAAACTCCCCGTCTAGTGAGTTAGGAAGCAATAGCTATGTTGCAAAAAGCAGAGAGTATTTTTTTCTATCTATACATCAACCTGCAAGAAGAAACACTAATCATCTAAGATTTAAGGTTTAAGACACATGATGCTATCTTACCTTGGAGGTGGGCCATAAACCTATGGCTAAAACCCTGCTGCCATCAGCTCAAACTTTTACTTTTTTTCAAAAGTAATTTAAAAATACACATTATGCAGATAGTAAACATCTAACATTAGTATTTTTCCCTGATTTTCTGGGATTTTCTTAATGTGAGCTTTCAAAGAAAAATGTTAACAGATACACAGAAGTCTCCATAATTAACAAATTCCCAATCTGGTAACACCTTGCTCTCTAATATATGTAGATATTTTTATTCAGGCTGATAATCACAAAAATCATTTGTTTGATGCCCTAAAACATAACTTCAAGAAGTTTACTGGTACCCTGGACTGATTAATTTCTCAGAGATTTTTAGATTTATTATTCTTGCAAGAGAAGTTGTTAAGTCTCAGACGCTAAGTAATTTCTCATAAAGTCATTCAAAGCTGATTCTTGCAAACTCAGTTTTTTATATCTTGGGTTCTAACATCTGAACTCATTACTGAGCTTTAACAGTTCAGATATTTGATTCTTGAAATATTCTCAAATCTAATTTCCTGAAATGAAATAACTTGGCATTATGGAGCATAATTACCTGTTTTATTTGCCAGGGGCGAGTGGAGGGAAGGGAAGGAAGAAGAGAGGATTCAAGTCTGTTTTCGGGTATCATCTGATGTCCTGATGGTACCCGAGTATGTTCAAATCCCTTCCTAGCATGAACTTAAACTGCTTCCACTTACTGCTGGTTCCATCATTTTTGTAATTTCATTACCCCTTGACTGTTTACTTGGCAGAACGTGCTATCAAAGCAACACCAAGTCAAATGTGATGCATTTAAGCTTAAAATTTAGGAAGTTGCTCAAAATACCATTCAATATTACTCTCCTCCAGATGACACACTCAAAACCCGATGACTACAATTAAGTGCACAGCATACAACAGCTAACATGACAAACAAAATAACAAGTGAAATTATTTTCTGAGCAAATATAATTAACATGACACAAGAATCTCATTTAAATATTGATTCCATGGTGCTACTGTGTCAGTCTTGATCCACTTGACATAATTTTTATTGTAAGCATAATTTAACACCACACTCCACCCGTGCACAACAACAAAACAAAGTTTATGGACTTAAGCAGTTGCTAGCTACTTCTGTTCCTAAAAGTAAAAGCACATTATAGGATAGAATTACCTAAGACAGTCCAGATGAGCTAACTTGTGTCCTGAAAGCACTGCAAAGGCATTAGTGTGGTATGTTAATGAAGTACCAGCTTGGCTATGCTGCAGCCTTTAGTAATGAACAATGGAAGCCTACTTTGTGCCCTGTGTTTGCTTCCCATGGTTCATCATAATTATCTCGGTCTGATATAGGTAAGCATTTAATCCAATTATCTCTCATCCATTTGATGCAATCTGGACCAGTAAAACAGAGACATTTGTCTATCCTTCTCTCACTGGAGGAACTGAAAATACTTCCATCGACATCTCTCTCCCCCCTTGCCCAAGTGCTCACATATACGGTAAATAATGAGGGGATGACACATCATATACTCTGTGATATCCATCCTGAGGGAATCATTAGGATTTAAAAGCAGTTAACATGCTTCTTCATCATAAAATTAATTCAGTGCAAGTAGCAACCCTTTACAATTCACCAGCAGCTTTTATATATTATCAGATACCTTCTTCGTATCTTGTGGTGGGAATTTTGGAATGAAAAAGAACCTGTAAGAAATCTTTATGGTACTCAGATTTATCCTAAAAAGTAAATATCGCAGTAAACTTGGATGGACACTGCACCCAAGAAGGGCCTAAAGACAAATACAGTTGCACAAAACTAATTTTGTTTTATTAGAGAGGGAACAGGAAAAAACTACGTGGTAGCTCACTGAGCAGCCACAAGTGTTTGTAGGTCTAGATTAACCATCTCTACACGCAATCCAGTATTTTTCACGATGGAACAACTACTCCATAAAAAACAACTCTGAACACACATATATACATGCAATTTTTCCAAATGTATCAGTTCTCAGATTTTCATATTTCCATTGCCAGGCTGGGCAAGCATTTACCACCTAGTTAAAAACTCACTCAGTCGTTAAAGATACATGTATTTCCATATGGTAGTGAAAACTGCATTTTAAACATTTTGAAAATTAAACTATCTCCCAGATAATATCATATGTTGCAAGTTTCACTGAAATAATTATGTCCAATATAAAATTATATTGTGCAAAGAGGTTTCTAATTGTAACTAAATTACACTGATGAATAAGAAATCAGGAATAATTCAGTTATTGGTAATACAACCTAATAAACATTTTGATTATCTAACTTCTATATTTATTAACAAGCTTTAAGCAAAACTAAAAGTAAAATTAGTGAAGAATGCTGATTTTAAATGATCTCTTACTATACTCTCTTGGGCCAAAAGACTAATGGGCATTGCCTCCTAGAGGTGTAGTTAAGCAGTACTTATTTTTTTGCTCTCAGTAGTTTATTCAGTCACAGTCAATGTTGTACCAGCTACTTCAATCCCTCCAAATTTTGAAGTAAACCAGGAATTACCAGGTAAGCAGCAGCTATGACAAACTGAATCAGAAGAGAGGAAACAACAATCTTACCTTCACACACCGGGCAGCACTCCCCAGGGACTTTAACAGGATTTAGGCAGCTCTGCCCACAGGCTGTTGCCACACAGTGTGGCTTTCCATTGATGCACTGGCAGAAGGTGCAGTCGTCCTCTCGCCAGCGGTCTCCGTGAGCTTGGATCTGACCATTGGCATAGCAGCCAGCAGGGTTATTTACTGGATAAACTGGGTCTGAAATGAGAGGCATTGCAAGAGAACAAGAAGTGTTATCTTCCCTTTTACACCTAAACCTTACGTATGAATAACTGCAATACTGTGATTTTACATTACCTAGAAAGGGATAAGTGCAGCCACTATCAAACACTGAAAGAACCAAACTGTGGTATAGAGTGATAAGAAATGCAACAACACAAATACTTCAATATTGAAATTTACTGTCAAAAAAGTTAAGAGAAATTATGCAGAACATTTGCAGATTCAGTGGTCTGTTTTTAACTATGTCAACTCAAGCTTTGTATATAATAATTTCAAGACAATTTTTTTGATTGTCTGATTTTGTTCTTTGCAACAAAATGGATCTTAAATCTATTGATTTTTTTTTTTACCAACTTAACAAAATCTGAGGGAAACTGAAAACATCTCAAGGAACCATTGGAGTGACTTGTGTCAGTACCGCACAACTATTTTACAGTATGAACAGAGATGAGACCTCTGGCACAATTCCTGCTAAATGCTGGAAAAAGGAGACTCTTGTAAGCTACATTTCTTCACAGTTTTGGAGATACACTAGTTTTCCTGAACAGATCATCTGGCTCAGTTTTCATTTCAGTTGGAGCTTTTTCCCCTTAGAAGCCACATGATGTACATATCTGTTAGCAATCAAATTAGACTTGGGTATTTAAATAACAGAATTTTGGGGGACAGTTTATGTAAGTTTCTTTCTCAAATCTCATGCAAATAAATAAAGCAACTCTGTACATGCTAATTCATTACTTGAAATAAAAGCAGCTTTTACTCTTCAGAAATAACATAGTTTACTCTTCAGAAATGCAGTAAACAACATGGTTATTAATGGTAAAAATTATGCATTATGTAAATGTATTCAACTTATCACGATGGCTACTAAGAAAATAGATTTAAAAACTAAATACGTGAGAATGTACAGTAATTTGGTCAAGTTTTCAAAGCAAGCAACAACACAAATTATGTATTAAAGCAAATTCCATATATTAAAATTGTTAAACACAACTTAAAGCAGACATCAGACAGCAGACTTCAAATAAGCACAAGTCATTTACCCATAAGTCAATTTTCAAAAAGCATTAAGCCTGAAGGACTTGGGAGAAAAGAACCGTCCTGTCTAAAGGAAAAAAAAAACCCAAAACCCTGAACAAAAAACTCAAGCAAAAACAAACCCCCAAAAACATGAAAAGCTATTAAGTAGAAATTCTGCTCATTTAAGACTTACCTTTTCAATTTAGGTGTCACTTAACATATTCTGAGTTATTAAGAAAGGGATCAGAGCTATTGCTAAGTTTTTAAAGAACCAGGAAAATTATTTTACATTTCTAGTGCCGGTTGTCTAGCCTCACCTAAAAGAATCCCATTATATCAAAAGAGTTTATAGTAAAACCCCCATATATCTTACCATCCAATAATTTACAAATCAGAAATCAGGCTTCCTTGATTTAGTGCTACAAGCCCTATCAGAAAAGCATGCAAAACAAACACACCAAACAGCACCAGAGGATTTGATGAAGGACCCTGTTACTTGGCATCTCAGTCAGCTGAGAGGAAATTAAATCACAGTGATTACTTGAAAAGAAGATTGTATTCAATAATTACAAATCATTATCCACTTTATTCTATCTACTAAGGATCTGTCTTAAGAGATTTCCACTGCAGGCCTAATACACACCAACTCATTAAACCCAAAATGAAATGTTAACAGGTTTTCCTGTAGTCTGATTCAATGGTTGCAAAAATGGAGACATCAACTTTTAACATTGCATGATGATATGGCAGAATAATTTATTGAAGGACAAATATAGAGCTGCAAGTTCAATGTGGAAAATCAGCATCCACATTTGAGTATGACAGAGCTGATACAGAGAGGCCAGATATAGCAGACATATAGTCACATTGTTTATGTATCTGTATAGACTGTCATAACGATTTCTTAATGCCAAATCTAAGAATATTCACACATGTGAAAAATAGTAATTATAGGAAAAACCAACAGATTTCACATATTCTAGAATGTCAGCAGCTGATACAGCTATTTTTTCAGATCTGCACTTATGGACTATGGGTTTCACCATATCAGACATCTTTCTTTAAACTTCTTCAATATTAAATTATGGTATAGCACTGATTTTTTTATTTATTTTCTTAATATTATTCCCCCCCCCCCCCACCCTGAAAACTCTTTACAACATCAACACCCC